ATGGATCATGGAGCCATCAAGAAGAATGTGTGTCGGGGCCATGAAAATGGGATAACACAGCAATGTACTCCAGTGGGGGTGTTCACTAGAGATGGCGGCAAATACCTGGAGGTGTATAAGCATGGTTCCAAGTTCTCCGACAGATGAGTGGAAAATTCTGACATCAGCAGCCTGCCATGAGGTGGTGTTGGATTGCAGAAAGGGGGAAATCCGGAAGAAAATGGATGGTTAGAGCTGAAAGATTTTAATAATTTAGACAAAAAGGAGGCGAGGTGAGAGGGCATCCTTGTCGGACCCTTGTTCGAACAGGGAAGACGGGACGAGCAATGTGTCAAACTATAATGCTGTTTATGTTGGGTAGGCTGTAGTGGGGTAGCCTACATGGGGTACAACCCAATTAGGGTTAGTGCTTGTACAACATTTCTGATCAATGCATTCATTCCTGCTCGTTGGTTTCTGACATGGTTTCACAGCAGTAGGTCCGTAGGACCGTTTTTTTTTTTTTTTTTTTTTTTTCGGGCCCACCATTAGGTAGTGACCGACTGCGGTTACCGCGCTACCCCACGCCCTGATCTGCACTGCGCCGTCAGCGCGCGCCCTGCCCTGCCCTGCCTTGCGTCCTGCTGCCCGTGCACGCCCTGCCCCGCGCACGCCCTGCCCTGCCCCGCGTCGCGCTGCCCCCTCGCACGCCCTGCCCTGCACCGCGTCGCGCTGCCCCACGGACCGCCCTGCCCTGCCCTGCATCGCGCTGCCCTGCGCACGCCCTGCCCTGCCCCGCGTCACGCTGCCCCGCGCACGCCCTGCCCTGGCCCCGCGTCGCGCTGCCCCATGCACGCCCTGCCCTGCCCCACGTTGCGCTGCCCCACGCACGCCCTGCCCTGCCCCGCGTCGCGCTGCCCCGCGCACGCCCTGCCCTGCCCTGCATCGTGCTGCCCCGCGCACGCCCTGCCCTGCCCCGCGTCGCGCGCCCCTGCAGCCCGTAGCGTCGCGCGCCCCTGCAGCCCGCCTCGTTGCGCACCCCTGCTGCCCGTCGTGCCGCGCGCCCCTGCTGCTCGTCCCGTTGCGCGCCCCTGCTGCCCGTCGTGTCGCGCGCCCCTGCAGCCCGTCACATTGTGCGCCCCTGCAGCCAGTCGCGTCGCGTGCCCCTGCTGCCAAAACGCGTCGCGCGCCCCTGCAGCCTATCGCATTGCGCGCCTCTGCTGCCCGTCACGTCGCATGCACCAACTACTCGTCGAGCCATGCGCCCTTGCTGTCCGTCCCGTCACGCCGCCCGTGCGCCCCTGCCCGTCGCGTCGCCTGTCCGCCCATCGCGTCGCCTGCCAGTGCGCCACCCTAGCGACCTGCGCGCCACCCTACAGCCGGCGCGCCGCCTCTGCTCTGGCCGCGCGCCGCCCTTCCCTGACCGTGCGCCGCCCCGAACTACCCTAGTGCCTACTCGCTATGACTTCTCTTCGTAGTAGCGGTGGGAGTGGTGACGGCGCTGGTGGCAGTAGTGGGAGTGGTGGCGGCCGTAGTAGCAATCGCTATGGAGCTGTTCAGTGGGGAGTTTCTGGCGGTGGCCAGATGCAGCTGCAGCGGCGTCTGCACGAGACCCTTCCGCCCCAGCAACTACGTGAGTGGTACGCTAGTAGGAGTGGTGGCGGCGGCAGTAGTGGAAGTGGCTATGCAGCTATTCCGTTGAGAGTTTCTGGCGGTGGCCTGGTACAGCTACAGCGGTATCCGCGTGAGACTCTTACACACCAACAGCTTCGTGAGTGGTACGCTCAGTGTGGGGCGTCTCGGAGTAGTGCTCGCTGCCCGTACGTCATTCGCACAGATGATCGAGCTGGTCAGACTTGCAAAACAGTTGGTCACACACAGTCCCGCTGCTTCTCATGTTTGAGCGACACCTGGCGTACAGAGTTTAGCGATGCGGCTGAGCTCCCCTGCTGGCTAGAGCTGCTTAGGCAGGGTGTGGATATCTTTGCTCTAGACTGCTGCATGTATGCTTTGACTATTAGTACTCAAGGTGACTGTTACCTGTGTGTGCAGCTCGACCCTGGTATAGAGGCTGCTTCTCTAGGTGCTCGTGAGTCTGCTCTAGGTGCTAGTGAGTCTGCTCTAGGTGCTGGTGAGTATGCTCTAGGTGTCGGTGAGTCTGCTCTCTCTGGTACTGCGCCTACTGAGGCCTTGCACACCTTCACGCTTGACTTAGGTGCTTCCCGCTGCTCCTTTCGCGATAGCACCACAATCACACCACTCGCAGCACCGGTTGCAGTCTCTCTGGCTGACCCCTTTGGGGGACCGGTTCTTGCATGTTCCTCCACTGTTCTCCCAGCCGGCGGTTCTGTCTGGCTCACTGTTAGGTCTTCACCTCCCCTTGTTCTCTACAAACTTGGTGAGTAATGCCGTTCTTCAAGATACTTGGGTTGATACCTTTACCTCTGGAGGACAGCGTGGGCAATCTGTACGTGTGCACGGACGGGCCGTCACTTGGCAACGTTCAACCCGTCGGCCTGGGTCGAGCCTGTACACACTGACTACTGAGCCTCCTCAAGCAGCTGCGTCTGCGTCCACGTCAGGTCAGCTAGCAGCCCAGTGTTCGTGTGGCCTCTTGTCGCACCTGACTCTCCTTTGGCACCACCGCCTTGGTCACCCTTCCCTGCCAAGCCTCCGTGTTATGCAATCCCGCCTCCTTGTCCACGGCAGTGCGCCGCTCCTCACTCTTCCTCGTTTCCCCCGACGACTGCCCCCCTGCAGACTCTCCACATGGACGTGTCGGGCCCAACCCGCGTCCTGGGACAGGGCCGCGAGCGATACTTTCTGCTAGTTGTTGACGACTACTCGCGTTACACCACGGTCTTCCCTTGCATAGCAAGGGGGAGTTCTCTGATATCTTGATCCCTTGGATCCGCGCTGTCCATCTCCAGCTCCGCGAGCGGCTCAACACGGACCTTCCTGTCCAGTGTCTGCACTCTGACAGAGGTGGTGAGTTTTTCTCCGACCTCTTGCGGGACTTTTTTCGTGGGGAGGGCATCCTCCAGACGTTCAGCTTCCGGCCTCTCCGCAGCAGAATGGGGTTGCTGAGCACCGCATTGGCTTAGTCATGGTGGCCGCTCACACCTCCATGATCCATGCGGCTGCTCCCCGTTTTCTGTGGTCGTTTGCGGTCCAGTACGCTGCACATCAGCTCAACCTCTGGCCCCGTGTCTCCTTGCCGGAGACCTTGCCTACAGTGCATTGGATGGGAGAGGTTGGCGATGTGTCGGTGTTCTGGGTCTGGGGCTGTCGTGCCTTTGTCCGCGATACCTCCGCGGACAAGCTCTCCTCTCGTGCCATTCCATGCGTCTTCCTTGGCTTTTCCCCTGACGCGCCTGGCAGGCAGTTTTACCACCCCAGCTCGCGCCGTATCCTGCCCTCTTAGGACGTCACGTTCGACAAGTCGGTTTCCTTTTACTGTCTCTTCCCCTACCGCACTGCCCCTCTCCCCCCCCGCCGCTCTTCCTCGCGCCATGTCCCCCTCCGGTAGGCCCCCTCCCCCCTCAGGGTCCTGCTCCTTCTGGTGTGTCTCAGGTAGACCCACTCCCTTGGTTGAGCTTGTCGAGGTCACTGGTGACTTTGGTGCTGCTCGTGGTGCTGTGTCTGGGGGTGCTGACTATGCGGTTGCGGAGCTTGAGCGTGCGGAGCTTGGAGGTGCTGAGCCTGCGAGTGCGGAGCCCAGGGGTGCTGAGCCTGAGCATGCAGAGCCTAGGGGTGCTGAGTCTGGGGGTGCTGAGCCTAGGGGTACTGCGTCTACACTACGGGAGCCTCTCTCACCTCACCAGCTGTGCGAGTGGTACACTCGGCGCACCCGCCTTCGGAGTGGTGCTGCTGGAGGTGGAGGCCCTGGAGATGCTAGTCCTGGAGGTGCTGGAGGTACTGCTGGTACTGGAGGTACTGGGGGTGCTGGAGCTACTATTCGTGGAGGTCCTACTAATGACTCACCCCAGCGGTCTAGCTGGCGGGAGCCTCTCTAACTAGAGCAGCTGCGCGAGTGGTACGCTTGGCGCACTCGCCTTCGGAGTCGTGCTGCTGGAGCAAAAGGCCTTGTCGCTAGAGGCGCTGGCACTGGAGGCACTGGTGCTACAGGTGCTGGAGGTGTTGGAGCTGCCGATTCTAGAGGTGCTCGTGCTGGAGATTCTGGAGCTGCTGGAGCTGCTGGTGGTGCTGCTGCTGGAGGTGCTAGAGGTGCTGGAGGTACTGGAGCTGCTGGTCCCGGAGGTGCTCGTACTGGAGGTACTGGAGCTGCCAGAGCTGGTGGTGCTGCTGGTGCTGGAGGTGCTGGAGGTACAGGAGGTGCCGGAGCTATTGGTTTCGGTGGTGCTATTGCTGCTGGAGGTGCTGGAGCTGCTGGTCCCGGAGTTGCTCATACAGGAGGTACTTGAGCTGCTGGAGCTGGTGGTGCTGCTGCTCCTGGAGGTGCTGGAGCTGCTGGTCCCGGAGGTGCTCGTACTGGAGGTACTGGAGCTGCCGGAGCTAGTGGTGCTGCTGCTAGTGGAGGTGCTGGAGCTGCTGGTCCTGGAGGTGCTCGTGCTGTAGGTACTGGAGCTGCCAGAGCTGGTGGTGCTGCTGGTGCTGCTGGAGGTCCCGAAGGTGCTCGTACTGGAGGTACTGGAGCTACTAGTGCTGAAGGTGCTGGAGGTGCTGGAGCTGCTGGAGCTGCTCGTCTTGGAGTTGCTCGTACTGGAGGTAATAGAGCTACTGGTGCTGGAGGTGCTGGAGCTGCTGATTCTAGAGGTGCTCGTGCTGGAGTATCTGGAGCTGCTAAAGCTGGTGGTGGTGCTGCTGCTGGAGGTGCTAGAGGTGCTGGAGGTACTGGAGCTGCTGGTCCCGGAGGTGCTCGTACTGGAGGTACTGGAGCTGCCAGAGCTGGTGGTCGTGCTGGTGTTGGAGGTGCTGGAGGTACTGGAGGTGCTGGAGCTACTGGTTTCGGTGGTGCTATTGCTGCTGGAGGTGCTGGAGGTGCTGGTCCCGGAATTGCTCGTACTGGAGGTACTCGAACTGCTGGAGCTGGTGGTGCTGCTGCTCCTGGAGGTGCTAGAGCTGCTGGTCCCGGAGGTGCTCGTACTGAGATACTGGAGCTGCCGGAGCTAGTGGTGGTGCTGCTAGTGGAGGTGCTGGAGCTGCTGGTCCTGGAGGTGCTCGTGCTGGAGGTACTGGAGCTGCCGGAGCTGGTGGTGCTGCTGGTGCTGCTGGAGGTCCCGGAGGTGCTCGTACTGGAGGTACTGGAGCTACTTGTGCTGAAATTGCTGGAGGTGCTGGCGGTGCTGGAGGTGTTGGAGGTGCTGGAGGTGCTGGAGCTGCTGGAGCTGCTGGTCTCGGAGTTGATCGTACTGGAGGTAATAGAGCTACTGGTGCTGGAGGTGCTGGAGGAGCTGGTGGTACTGGAGGTGCTGGAGGTGCTAGAGCTGGAAGGGCTGGAGCTGGAGTCACAGGTGCTGGAGGCGCTGGAGCTGGAGGCCTTGGCGCTGGGGGTGCTAGCGTTGGGGGAGCTGGAGCTGGCTGTACTGGTGCTGAAGGCACTATGCCGCGGCGCATGTTCTTCGCTCCACCGTCGCCTTCGTCTCTGCCGCCCCCTGGCTCGGGGCTTCGCCAGGTTCTTAGTCTCCCGTCTTCTACTGGCCTTACTCTTCCCTTTCTGTGTCCACCGCCTAACCAATCGCAGCCACAGTTACAGCCAGCCTCCCCACTGCCTGCTCCTTCTCCTTACACTGAGCAGGCATACTCTCTTGCAGAGAGTCGTGAGCCTGCGTCTCACCCTGCCTCGCTTCTTCACTCTGGTCGCACTGGTCGTCGTGCTCCGCGTCCGCGTCCTCCTGTCTCCAGCACTCACAGTATGACGCTTTGTCCTTCCTCTGATCCACTACGAGTTCCCCTGCCGTCTCCTCCTGCGTCCTCTCTTCCTGACGGTCCGGACCCTGAGTCTGACTTAGTTCGTGCTACCAGTCCTACTCTCCCGCGTCTCCTAACCACTGTTGTCACTGACCCTTCGTTGGAGTCGACTGCTGCGCATACCTTAGTCGCTGAGCTTGTTGACTTTGCTGCTGCTTCTTGTCTCAACTACGTCGCTAGTCTTGTTGCTGAGTCTGAGTCTGTCTGTCCTCCGTCTGTCAGGGGTGAGTGTGCTCTTGGAACGGATGTCCTTGAGGACATGCAGAAGGACTTTGAGTGTCTTGTCAGAATCCCAGCCACTAACCACTGGGATAAAAGGGCTTGTTTGTGTAGCGGGTAAGTGCGCCCATAACCCCCCAGGCCAACATGCCTGTAACCCTTCCCTAGGATCAATTGGGGATCACCAGTGGACCTCTGACACACCCCCGCACTGGGATGACCGAAGTGCACACATTGGGATTCGAACCCGAAACCTTCGCTCTGATACCATGTCAGAATCCTAGCCACTAACCACTGGGATAAAATGGCTTGTTTGTGTAGCGGCTAAGTGCGCCCATAATCCCCCGGGCCAACATGCCTGTAACCCATCCCTAGGATCAATCGGGGATCACCAGTGGAGCTCTGACATGTCTTGCAGCTGCTGTAACACATCTCGTGTCCACGCTGCTTGCACCTAAGGGAGACCCGGATGCGCCAGACATCCCAACCCCGCGCTTTTACGCAGAGGCAAATACGGGTTCCCCCACTTGGGACGAACATAGTCAATGGCATGTGGATTTTTAGGGTGAAGCGGCCGCAGAGTTCTCCGCCTGTCTTTAAGGCTCGTTACGTTGCACGAGGCTTTAGTCATCGACAGGGATTTGACTTCTTCCATACCTTCTCCCCTACCCCGAAGATGACCACTCTTTGGGTGCTGCTGCACGTCGCCACTAAGCGTGACTACGAGCTTCACTCTCTTGACTTCAGCACAGCTTTCTTACAGGGTAGCCTGCACGAGGAGATCTGGCTGCACCGTGCACCTAGCTTCACTGGGTCGTTTCCTGCATGTACCCAGTGGAGCCTCCGGCGGCCAGTCTACGGTCTCCGCCAGGCGCCTCGTGAGTGGCACGACACACTGAGGATGACACTTGTGGCTCTTGGGTTTGCTCCTTCGACTGCTGACCCGTCGCAGTTTCTGCGCGCCGACACTTCGCTGCCGCCGTTCTACATCCCCGTGTACGTCGACGACTTGGTTTTTGCCACTGTTGATACTGAGGCACTGACTCTAGTGAAGTCGGGGCTGCATAAGAGACGCACTTGCACAGACCTGGGTGAGCTGCGTAGCCATCTTGGCTTGAAGATCACCCGAGACAGAGCACGCCGCACCATCACCCTGACTAAGTCACACATGGTGCAGCAGGTTCTTCAGCGCTTCGGCTTCACTTGGTCCTCGCCACAGTCCACTCTTCTGCCTATCGGTCACTCGCTCTTTGATCCACCTTGGGACGATTCCGTAGAGCCGAGTGGCCCGTATCCAAAGCTTGTGGGCTGCCTCATGTACCTGATGACCTGCACTCGACCTAACCTTGCTTACCCTCTCAGCATCCTGGCACGCTACGTTGTGCCCGGGAGACACCGACCAGAGCACTGGGAGGTCACTAAGAGGGTGTTACGCTACTTGTGCAGTACGTCGGGCATGGGGCTCGTGCTTGGAGGACGGAGTTGAGTTGTTCTCACTGGCCACGCAGACGCTTCTTGGGTTGACGACTTGGCTACGCACTGATCGTCACAGGGTTACACTTTCAGCCTTGGCTCCGGTTCTGTTTCTTGGCGGTCTACCTGCTCGTCTTCTGTTCTCAGTTCCAGTTGTGAGGCTTTGATCTGCGCAGGGGCCATTGTTGTACAGGAGTTACGCTGGCTCACCTACCTGCTGACCGACTTGGGAGAGCGGCCTCGTTCTCCTCCAGTTCTATACGTAGACAACAAGGCCATGATTGCCTTGTGTCAGGAGCACAGACTGGAGCACAGAACGAAGCACATCGCTCTGTGTTACTTCCTTTCTCGAGAGTTTCAGCAGCGTGCTTAGCTTCGTCTTGCTTACGTGGCCACTCGGGCCAACACTGCTGATATATTCACCAAGGCACTTCAGCCTCGTTATCATCAGCCTTTCTGTATTGTTTTAAGCCTTGTGCCTACTTTCCCTCACTTGCTCACTTCGTGAATTTGCTTGTACTGTGATCTACATGCTTACACTTGCTAGGTTGTGATCACTGTACTGCTTGTTCCCATATGTATAACTCTGCGTGTGAACTAGCATTGTAGCCACTTGCTTGTGCTCAGAGTGTGTGGTGACTTCGTGATCCACTCTGAGTTTGCTTTGCTTTTCTTGACTGGTCTTGTGACCCCTTGTTCTCCCCCACTTTACCTATGGGGGTGTGTCAAACTAAAAAGCTGCTTATGTTATGTAGGCTGTAGTCGGGTAGCCTATATGGAATACAACCCAATTAAGGATAGTACGTGTACCATATTTCTAATCAATGCAGTCATCCCTGCTTGTTAGTTTTTTACACAAGGTTGTTGACAGAGATGCGTGTGGAGGTGTTGCATGAGGCGAACCCAGGGGATAAACTGGTAGAGAAGTCTCAAGACAATGAGCGCTCGAAAGAGGAAGGCATGGTCGACCAGGTCGTAGGCCTTGCGGAATTAATCAGTTAGAGCAAGCAGAGGGGTCCGGCAGGGCTCAGGTTTGGATTTGACCTACTCATGAATGGCAGTGTAGCTTTGTCAAGAACCCTTATGAGCAGTGTGTACCTTTTCGTTACACTGATAGAGCACTGGAACATCAGGTTTTGAAATTTTTTACCCTGCATCATCAGTGTGGTTTTTTCTTTCAAACACTGACAGATGCCCGCAAAACCCTAAACTATTATAGGTAACACCTAGGTTCAGTTTCGTGGCGTGCTGGCAAGGGGATTATTCCTGAGGGCGTGTGTCTTTTGGCGAAATGTGTCAAATTTCGAACATCAACCAACCGCTTTGCACCGTGACAAAACATCTCTCAATAGTATCGTAACGAGTAGTACCTCTCTAAATGTTTGAACTTAGACACAAGTTCGAACCCCTAGTGCACATGCCCTAACAAACCAATCGGACACGTCACTGCGGCCTGTCAGACTTATATGACTTAGCCTGTGTAGGCTATAGTGGGGTGGCACATATGGGGTACAACACATTTCTAGGGTTTGTACTTGTACCCAACCCTTTCCTCTAGTAAATCATTCCTCGTTCTTTCACATGGTATAGAGCAGGTTCCCTAGTGGGAACGTTTCCTAGGGCCCACCGAATATCGACTTTTTTTCCTGCCTGGAGCGCGCTTCACCCCTGCCCGAGTCGCGCCCCGTGTGCCTACCCTCCCGTCGCGTCCCCTGCCCTTAGTGGCCCGTCGCGCTCCCTTACGGCCCCGTAGCGGCCCCTCTCACGGCCTCTCACGGCCCCTCTCACGTCCCCTTCGTGGCCCCTTCGTGGCCTCCCTTCGCGGCCCCTTCGCGGCCCTTTCACGGCCCCTTGGAGGCCCCTTCGCGGCCCCTTCGCGGCCCCTTCACGGCCCCTTCGTGGCCCCTTCACGGCCCCTTTGCGGCACCTTCGTGGCCCCCTCACGGCCCCTTCGCGGCCCCTTCGCGGCCCCTTCACGGCCCCCTAGCGGCCCCCCTCGCGGCTCCCTTCGCGACCCCTTTCGCGGCCCTGCCCCGCTGCCCGTAGCGGCCCTGCCCTGTCGCCAATCGCGGCACCGCCCCGTCGCCAGTCGCGGCCTCGCCCCGTTGCCAGTCGCGGCCCCGCCGCGTCGCCCCCGCCTCGTCGCGACGCCCCTGCGGGACCCGCGAGGCGCGGCTCCTGTGTGTCGCGACGCCCCTGCGGGACCCGCGTGGCGTCACCCCTGCCCTAACCCGCCGCGCCCTGCCCTAACCCGCGCTCTGGAGCAGCCGCCACTGCAGCAGCCGCCCCTAGAGCAGCCGCCACTGCAGCAGCCGCCCCTGGAGCAGCCTCGCCTGCAGCAGCCGCCCCTGGGGCAGCCGCCACTGCAGCAGCCGCCCCTGGAGCAGCCACCCCTGCACCAGCCGCCCCTGCAGCAGCCGCCTCTGCAGCAGCCGCCCCTGGAGTAGCCGCCCCTGCAGCAGCCGCCCCTGGAGCAGCCGCCACTACAGCAGCCGCCCCTGGAGCAGCCTCCCCTGCAGCAACCGCCCCTGGAGCAGCCGCCCCTGAAGCAGCCGCCCCAGGAGTAGCCGCCACTGCAGCAGCCACCCCTAGAGCAGCCACCCCTGCAGTGGCCGCCCCTGGAGCAGCCGCCCCTGCAGTGGCCGCCCCTGGAGCAGCCGCCCCTGCAGCAGCCGCCCCTGGAGCAGCCGCCCCTGCAGCAGCCGCCCCTGGAGCAGCCACCCCTGCAGCAGCCGCCCCTGGAGCAGCCGCCCCTGCAGCAGCCGCCCCTGGAGCAGCCGCCACTGCAGCAGCCGCCCCTGGAGCAGCCACCCCTGCAGCAGCCGCCCCTGGAGCAGCCGCCCCTGCAGAAGCAGCCTCTGGAGCAGCCGCCCCTGGAGCAGCTGCCCCTGCAGCAGCCGCCCCTGGAGCAGCCGCCCCTGCAGCTGCCGCGGAGCCCTCGCCCTACAGTGGTAGCGGCCTCGCCGTTGCCGCTGTCGTACGCCTGTCCTTCTCGCCACTGGTGAGCACTGCCGTGCCCGTACTGCTGTTACCGCTGCTCTTGCCGCTACTGCTCTTTCTACTGCTACTACTGCTCCTGGCGTGGCCAGATGCAGCTCCAGCGCCGTCCGCGTGAGTCCCTCACCCCCCAACAGCTTCGTGAGTGGTACGCTAGTTAAGGGTGCTGGAGTTGGCTCTGTTGGAGCTGGAGGTGCTGCTGGCGCTGGTGCTGCCGCTGGGGGTACTGGTGCTGTCCCTGCTGGTTCTGGAGGCGCTG